TATTGCCTTCTCTACAAATGCGCGCGCTTTTATATGTCGCTTTGTCGCTGAGAGTCGTTCTCCGATTGGTCCATGGAGTTATGGCGAGGGAAGAGATTCATTCCTTTGCATGATGTCACCGCGTCGGTGTCCTGAGTGGTGTTTAGGATTCAGCTTTCATGCTCCTGTTTATGTTGGCTTATCGCACTGAGCGATAGCGGTTTCTTTGGGTCGATCCGTTGATTTCGAGACTCTCCAGCAGCACGCAGCATTCGGCATTTTAATTATAATGTTTTAACGCTCGCGAATATGCATATGCGCACGTACTTACATCTAGTAACGTAGGGATAAAATATCTAGTGATGTCTGAAATCAGACAAGTCGGCCTCCCGGTCTATAATAATGTATTATTAATGTTCTAAAATAGATCCGGACGTTACACTATAACTTGAGCGCTCCGTCTTTAACGCCATTTAGCGCACGCTTTTTATTAATCTTTCGCAATTAATTTCTTAGTTATTATTGCGAATATCACAAAATGATATAAGACTTTTATATTCACCTCAACCCATTCTATATTCCCACAAAATATGCGGAAGAGAGTCTGGAACACCTTATATATAAGTTACTTATATACAGTATATAAGTTGAAAAGAATTGAAGTGCAATTAAAAACGTTTGTAAGTCTTTAGAATTATTATAAATAATTAATCATTTTTTATAATGATGTTAATCACAATTTAACAATTTTTACAAAATTTTATACTGTCATTTGTACTTTGTCTGAAGAGAATTTAAGTGTAATCTAAGAAATTTGTATATCTGCACACACACAGCATTATTTTAATCATTTGTAGACCATGAAGTTAACTAAATAATCATAGAGCATAAATACTTAGACACAAATATGTCTAGACACTGAAAGTAAAAAAAAAGCATTGCCATTTGAATTTGTAACATTGAATTTGAATCATTTGTAGACCATGAAGTTAACTAAATAATCATAGAGCATAAATACTTAGACACGAATATGTCTAGACACTGAAAGTAAAAAAAAAGCATTGCCATTTGAATTTGTAAAATCTTTGACACACAGGTTCTGTCATTTTTACTATGTCAGTAAAAATATTAGACTTACGAGATTTTGCATATTATAAAATCTCGCTATTTAATAACCTCCTATCGGTAAATTTGTCAAAAAATGTATAAAATCTGAGTACTGTAAATGATAATTACAAAAATGCAGTTTCATAAAAATGTTGAATATATTTCACTATGTGAATATATATATATATATATATATATATATATATATATATAAACGATAAAACATCAACATAATTATAAATTATAAAATTAACAACACTTTATTATACCAAATATATATTATACCATTATATATATATATATATATATATATAAACGATAAAACATCAACATAATTATAAATTATAAAATTAACAACACTTTATTATACCAAATATATATTATACCATTATATATATATATATATATATATATAAACGATAAAACATCAACATAATTATAAATTATAAAATTAACAACACTTTATTATACCAAATATATATTATACCATTATATATATATATATATATATATATAAACGATAAAACATCAACATAATTATAAATTATAAAATTAACAACACTTTATTATACCAAATATATATTATACCATTATATATATATATATATATATATATAAACGATAAAACATCAACATAATTATAAATTATAAAATTAACAACACTTTATTATACCAAATATATATTATACCATTATTTATATATATATATATATATATAAACGATAAAACATCAACATAATTATAAATTATAAAATTAACAACACTTTATTATACCAAATGCCTAGACATTTATGTTGAAGAGTTAAAATAGCCATGTAATCTTTATAGTAGTGTAAAAAAACTTAAAGTCTAGATTTCATTCCACCAGATACCACTACGACTTCACCAGTTATGTAAGATGCATCATCACTGGCTAAAAATGCAGCTGTGCCTCCAATTTCGTCTGGCAGTCCAAGTCTTCTCATACTAATCATTGATACAGCAATGTCGTGTGTTTCTTCTGATTCATACAACTAAAAATCAAAGCAACTTATACATAGAATGTCATATCAGATATTAGGCAAAACATTATCCTTCTTTAACATAATGTGAGGAGCTACGATTTAAAAGCAATTATAGATAAATACCGAACGTGAAAATTGAGTCTTTATGATTCCTGGTGCAATACAATTTACGCGAATTCCATCGCGCGCAAGTTCATCTGCAGTAGCTTTACACAGTCCAAGTAAAGCAGTTTTGCTTATTGAATATATACCTAATAGCTGAAAAAAATAGAAAGAGTGAAAAAGAGGATAAAAGAAAGAATTATATCGATATTAAAATTTATATCCTATCATGGCATGTTCCATCAATAAATATTATTAGATGAATTAGATGAAATATATTAAATAAAAGATTATAATATATTATAAATATTAGATGAAAACACAAATTTTTCAATACAACTCACATTGAAAGGTTGATATCCTGCAATTGAAGATACAATAATAATAGATGGTGATTTACTCTGCTTAAGCAATGGCATGGATTCCTTCATGAGCAAATATGTGCTTTTCACATTAATATCAAAAACTTTATCCCAGACTTCTTCTGCACTATCTAGTACCATTCCAACTGAGGGATTAACAGCTGCATTAGACACTAAAATATCTAAACCTCCAAAATCTGCTTTGACCTGTTATAACATAATATTGATAATAATTGTACAGAGAATAATATATAAGCTTCTATTAGAAAATACATAAAAACATATTTAAATTCTTGAGAAATAAAGCATAACAAATATAATCAACATAATAAACTTGTTAACATAACTTACTTTTTCAAATAAATTTCTCCTATCTGCTGTCTTTCCTACATGGCAAACAGTACCTGTAACTTCTAATCCTTCAGACTGAAGTTTTTCCACTGCATTTTTTACATTCAATTCCTTGCGACTGCTAATCATTACTTTAGCACCTTCCTGTGCTAAACGTCTTGCTATGGAGAATCCTATACTGTAGAAAGAAATATAAGGCATAATCTAAACACAACAATCAAAATATTATATAATTAAATAATTTTTACATTGACAAATAAATGTGACTTTTTTTATTGAGAACTGATATATAATACAGAGAAAAGAAGGGAAAACTATATTATTTAGTAACATAATTTATTTCAATATATTGCATTGTACTGTGAAGTGAATAGTTTGTAGACTTAGCTAACTATGACTAACTACGAACATTGTTACGCATATAATATGAGCTGTATTCATTTCTGTAGCACATTTTTGTGCTAAAAACATCTTATCTTCCTTCAATATATGAACAATAACAATAGTTTGTTCTCAAAGAGCTTTTTCAAATTAGCATATAGTAATACAGTATAAATTAAAATAAGTTAGAATAATGCCTGTGTTCATAGATAATCCTTATTTTAAAGATTGAGAAAGTTTCCAATAAAGATTCCTTTTTTTTTTACCAAGGCTTTCTTGTTTCATAATGAGATATTAAGTATATACTTTGTGACACTCTTGTGATACTCTATATCAACATATAAAATATCATAATCTCTGTGAGACATTATCTATGGATAATGGATGTAGTTTAAAGAATATATGGCTTGCTCAAACATTAATTAAAATGGAAAGTAAGAGAAGTTTATATTTTTATTTAACTTTCACACATAATTCTGATGTAAACTTATAAGCTTATATTGTTTCTTCAAGTTAAAGTTCATAAAATTTTTTTGTTACATTCTTACTATCAGAATGAAATTTATGAGTTTATAAAATGATGACGTTAAATGTTCATGTCATATAAACAATATTTATAATTATAAATTAATATTCAAAACACAGAGAGATATGATAGTTGTCTCAGTATTTTCAATTAACTTTTTTGTGTATTTTTTAATATAATTTATAATATTCATACACACATATTGCCTATACAATAAAAAATCATGTATACAGAACGTAGGCAATATATAAACAATATACGTAATCTTGAAATGTAGTGCAATGACTTTGTTTGATAATCATGAACAAAATTTTCTGGGTAAAGTCAGCAAAATAATATGCAAGTCATCGTACAAGGTAATAATTTTGTCGAATTACCCATCCGTCGATGCTGTTACAACCGCAACTTTTCCTTCTAGTCGCTTGCATCTTATCGAGGAACATGCATTACCGCTAAATTTGCGAGCCGTTTGATTAACTGTAGCACGTAGCATTGTGCGTACTGTGAAACGAATGATTTATAGACCCAGTCGATTACCACAATTATGAATATTGTTACGCATAAATTGCATTCCTTTCTGTACTGAAAACATTATCTTATCTTCTTTCGGTATGTCAGCAATAAAGATAAGTTAGAGTGAGAAAACATATGTTTGTCTCACTTCAATATATCGCACCAGTTCAGTATTGCAGCTACAAAAAACAGACATAATCTGTTTTCTAGAGGGTACAAATTCTCCTCTTGAAAAACGAGTGATATAGCGTGTTTGACTGGCCTTGGGTTAATCGCTCCGAGAGCGATTAATGACGTCATAAGTCTCTACTAGCCAATCATAAAGGTCGTTATAAGTACTTGTTCGACCAATAAACGTAGGCTGAATAACCCTGAGTGGGTTAGGGAGCGGTGCACTTGGACACGGTGCATTTGGACACAGCCAATCACAGCACCGTGTGATTAGAGCATTTGTAGGGTCCCTTGGAACAGCGACTTGTGATTGGACTGTGTCCAATTGCCCCGTGTCCAACTGATATACACTCCAGGCAGGATACTTATAAAAAAATATATAATTGAATGATGATCATGATCCATTAAAAATAGTATAAACTTGTCAAACTCGTTGGTTGTCTATTGAATCAGCAGTTAATAGGATATATGAACAATAGTTAGAGTTGAAAACACATTTTAATATAGTTAAATTAAAAGACAAATGTTGTATTGCCGAATTGTTATACCAAATGTATAATGATGCCATAAATTTCGCATATTTGTCATTTTTTAAACCAATTTTAAATGACGTTCAAAGGGTAAATAAATTGTTTGAAACTAACGATATAGATCCCACCAAATTTTTAAAAGATTTGTTATTTTTAATAGAATCATTAGCAAGAAAAATTATGTTACCAAGTACAGAAATTGATATTTTCAAAGTTAGTTTCAAACAATTTATTGATAAAAACTGTTATTTAGGTTATGTTTGAAAAAATTTTAAGAGAAATTAAAACCAAAAATAATAACTTCACACCAAGTGATGAAACTATATTAAGAGAAAGATGCATCGATTTTATAGCTTCTTTAATTGAACAATTAAAAGCACGTTTGCCTAATAATATTGAGATTTTAGAACATATGTCATTATTAAATGTGGATCAAACTTTGAAAAGAAAAAAAGAAAGATTGAAAGATTGACCGAATTGTTAAAATACTTTGGAAAATCGGATAATTTAATCAACAAAATTGAGACATAGTATGAAAATATGTTTCCTAAAATGGAATAATTATATAAACACCAGAAACTTTTGGTGCGAAGTTAAAAATTTTAGAGATAGTGCAAATGAAAATCCATTCCTTGAATTAATCCCAACAAACACAGAACATAACTGTGATATAACGGGAGCGGTGCACTTGGACACGGTGCATTTGGACACAGCCAATTACAGCACCGTATGATTAGAGACATTTGTAGGGTCCCTTGGAACAGCGACTTGTGATTGGACTGTGTCCAATTGCCCTGTGTCCAACTGATATACACCCGATATAACACAGGAGTAACATGTAATATAACTGCTGTTATACATTATTAATATTGAGGTTACTTAATATCCTTTATAACTACGATATAACTATATTATAAAACTGTTATGTTATTATGTTATTTACTGGTTAAGTTACATCAACAATATAACAGCATATAACATAACTTATATAACATAACTTATATAACATAACTTTAATATAACATGTTATATAAGAAGTCTAATGTTTGAATTAAATTTCAGTTGTGCAATATTTTTATACACAAATGTAAAATTATATTTTAGGTGTTTCTCGTATATAAAATGTGATATTTTAATATATACAAGGATCGCTATCACGATATTGTAAAACTAGAGTTCTTACAAAGAGTCTAATCATAACCTTACTCTGTCAAAGTATTGTGAGAGAGAAAGAAGGAATATTCTCTCTCTTTTGCGAGTTGTAGGTTAAAATTTGATTATTGATACAACATTGTATCAATATTAATCATATTGTGATTGTCGTGTCAAACATTTACCAGCAAATGTGTCATAACATTTTTTGAACGATATAAGAATATATTGTAAATATTATCTTCCTTCCTTCCTTCAATATTTGGCTAGAGGCGCATCCGTGATTCATGCCCCAACGCCATTACTCAGACAGGTGCTGCCATCGTATGTTGTATATCCATTTAAATTATTTAATTTGTTTGTTTCAGATACTTTGCTATAATTGTAAATATGTTAAGGTCTTTAGTAAAAGCTCTAGGGAAGATATCGTCCCACGGAGAAAAATCCATTTTAATGAGGTTGATTATTAAATTGTTAGACGCTTGAGTGTGTCTGTTGCAATTAAATAAAATATGTTGCCAATTCCTTGGACTGACCCCACATTCACATGTTTCATCATTAATAATATTTTTATCTATCAAGTGTGTGCTGGTAGATACATGGTAGGATTTAATTCTAGCAATTAAAGAAATTGTGTCTCTCTTAGAAAATTTATATTGTTTGTACCACGGAGAATTCGATAAGTTCGGGATGTTTTTCCGGTATCTCCGCCCTTTATATTTAAATTGCTCCTCAAGATAAGCATAAGCCAGTTTTTGGAAATCATGTTTAATGTTAGCAATAAGATCCCCGCAATATATGTTAGTGTGACATGTATCCTGTGAAGAGAAAGCTGCTGATTTCGCAAGTTGATCAGCAGTCTCATTACCTATGAAACCACGGTGTCCAGGTATCCAAATTAGTGTTATATGAATGTCCAATTGAGAAGCAGATATTAATTTGTCTCTGATTTTATGACAAAGATAGCTAGTCCTTTTTGAAATGGTGAGGTTGGAAACATTGGATATGATACTCCTGGAGTCGGACAATATGCCAACTTTGTTCGAACGCAGTTCAATTGCAAGGTCAATTGCATATATTATGGCCTCGGCTTCCACATGCATTATAACCCGAGAGCGAGAGCAGGGAACAGATGCTTTAATATTATGTGTAGAGGAGAAAATTCCGAAACCAACCCTGCCATCAGGCATTACTGAGCCATCAGTGTAAATAATACAGTTCAGGTTTTTATGATCAAGTATAGCAGCAGCCCTACGATTCATACCGCTGACTGAGATTTTTTATGTTTGCAATAATAAAAATTCCCTACTTTTTTCTGAAATTTGCTCAACTCTGAGAACGCTATGATATCCGTAGAGATGTCCATAAATCTGTTAGCTACGGGAAAATTCAAGTGTCCCTGATATCTAGGAGGTCCTAAGTTATGGATTTCTTGATAGTAAGGGGATAGCAGGGAGGATTTACGTGAACGAAGTATAGTGGAAATGGAGGGAGCATCTAGAGAATCACCTGGGTTGACATTGGTGCAATCCGACTCAAGAAGGGCAGAGATCTTCATTTCATGTGAAAAGTTAGGAGTCAGTTCTACGAGACCAGAAAGAGTGATCTTAGTAGCTAAAAGTAGGCGTCGAACAATCAATGGCCATTCAGCATTTTGATCGAGAAGAACATTGGTAGGAGTCGTTCTCATGAGACAAAGCACACATCTGAGAGCGGCATAGTGAACTCTATCTAGCTGAATTGTACGGCCCGGAGGGAGGTTGTAACGTCCGGATCTATTTTAGAACATTAATAATATATTATTATAGACCGGGAGGCCGACTTGTCTGATTTCAGACATCACTAGATATTTTATCTCTACGTTACTAGATGTAAGTACGTGCGCATATGCATATTCGCGAGCGTTAAAACATTATAATTAAAATGCCGAATGCTGCGTGCTGCTGGAGAGTCTCGAAATCGACGGATCGACTCAAAGAAACCGCTATCGCTCAGTGCGATAAGCCAACATAAACAGGAGCATGAAAACTGAATCCCAAACACCACTCAGGACACTGACGCGGTGACATCATGCAAAGGAATGAATCTCTTCCCTCGCCATAACTCCATGGACCAATCGGAGAACGACTCTCAGCAACAAAGCGACATATAAAAGCGCGCGCATTTGTAGAGAAGGCAATTATTTTCTTCTCATAGTTAGTCTCTGGTAGCTTCGTGTACTTATTCAGCATATTATACTTAGTCGTAAAATCCAACTGTGTTGCAATTACTTTTGCCTACCCTTCATATTTCAAACGTTGCGAAATCAAATTCTGAATCGCGGGCCGCATCAACCCGCGTGGTATCGGAACATCTGAGGCCGAGCCAGGAGAACAAGCACCGCTGATTTTTCGCCAGATTCATCAATCGTTTCGCCAGGCTCCTAAGACCCAGGGTAAACTCGGTGAAAAGCAGAGTGACCCAAAAGCGGAGTCATCACTCTGTTGACCGTCCACGTAAGTCACTGATTTTACTACTTTCAAATTTCCCTATATAGTTATCTATCGTGGACGTAACAGAGGTCATATAACGCTAGTCCTCCATAATCGAGAATGGAGCGTATCAGTCCCCTATATACAGAGAGAATTATGAGGGGGTGAGAACTCCACTTAATACCCGTAATGGCTTTAAGAATGTTAAGGCGTTTATTACAGATATTTAGTAAGGAGGAAATATGTGGCTTCCAAGATAAAGAATGATCAAATGTAATACCTAAGAAAACAGCCTTAAGTGAAATGTTGATGCGCTGATTTAGATATACAATGGGTTGTTTAATTTTGTTGTAGAGTCTATTTAGAGTTCGAAATCTGGAGGATTTTGCAAAAATACAAAATTTCGTTTTTTGAGGGGCGATCAGTAAATCATGTGCCTGTAAATTTTGGCCGATGATAGAAAAATTGTAGTTTAATTTTAAACAAATACTAGCTACGGACTTATTCCTATAAAAGATGACAATGTCATCCGCATAGGATAATATTTTAACGTCAAGCTCCATGTTTCGATGTATTCCGGCAGAGTAAATATTATATAGGAGAGGGCTCAGGACCGAGCCTTGCGGGAGGCCTATTGAGGTAGATCCCTCGCCAATGAGTCTACCATTATGATATCTGAAAATCTTCCTATTAGTAAGGAAGGTTAAAATAATATTCAACATCCTAGCCGGAAGACCCATTCTTGAGAGAATACAGCCTAACTTTTTCGGATTGACACTGTCGAACGCTCCCTTGATATCAAGGAATAGTGCACCAACCTTTTCGTTATTATTAAAAGCCTCAAGGATAAAATTCTTGAGATATAAAATATTGTGAGCACAAGATTTCCCGCTACGAAAACCACTCTGGAAGGTGGGGAGGATATCAAAACGT